CTCCTCCTCCTCCTCCTCCTCTTCTTCTTTCTTTTCCTCCTCCTCCTCCTCGTAGAGGCGGTGCAAGCAACCTTCTGATCCCAGCGCAAGCAATGGCAGTTGCATTATGCATGTATCGTCAATTTCGTGGGTGGGACGCACGAAACAGTGAAGGTGAATAATCTTATTTTCGAAGGAAGCTACAACAGTCGTGGAGAAGACGCAGACAGGGAGAACTTCCCTTTACTGGCTGCTATGTTTCGCTTTATAGAGTTCTGTGAAGATTATGAAGCTCTGTAGAACTCTGTGAAGATTATGAAGCTCTATAGAGCTCTGTGAAGACTATGAAGCTCTCTAGAGCTCTGTGAAGATGAAACTCTGTGAAGGTTATACAGCTCTATAGATCTATGTTAATATTATGAAGCTCTATAGAGCTCTGTGAAGATTATGAAGCTCTATAGAGCTCTGGGAAGATTATGAAGCTCTCTAGAGCCTTGTGAATATTATTAAGCTCTATAGAGCTATGTGAAGATTATGAGACTGTAGAGCTCTGTGAAGATTATGAAATTCTGTAGAGCTCTGTGAAGATTATGAAACTCTGTGAAGATTACGAAGCTCTACAGAACTCTGTGGTTATAAAGCTCTATAGAGCTATGTGAAGGTAAAATTATATAAAGCTCTGTGAAGATAAAGCTCTATGAAGCTTTGTGAAGATAATAAAGCTCTGTTTAGCTTTGTTAAGCTATCTTAAGCCTTTAATTAATTTTCACTCCAGGAGATTATTAGCAGCCACACTTCTTAAGTCACACATAAACACACATAAGATATATAGTAATATATGTACGTTATACACTTATGAGATATACACATGGCTTGTATTTTGTCCAGGTAACTAGTAATAATAAGACAGTGTCCAGCACTTGGGTAGCTTAATTACGGAAACTTTTTGCCAGTCAGTGGCCTCATCAGTCCAGTACAGATGAGAACAGTGAAAGACGAAGAGGAATTCTAGGTTATCAGTCCCTCAGCCTGGAGATGGTGTGTCTAGTCCATCAGTCTTGGTATAAGTACAGCATAAGAGCGGATGAAATGATTCGTGGTAAGCTCTGAACCCATATGGGTCTTTCAGTGGAAGACGTGGCGGAGGCTCGATCGTCCTCCTCCAGCTGAGCGCCAGACAGACGCGCTTCCTATTTATACTCACCTGGATATGCACGTATGAGAGGGGAAATGGTTTTTGTACTACAGAGAGGTGAGGTGATGCAGTTGATATCTGTCAGACACAGTAACATTTTGGAATTTTGATGCAGGAAGTTATTCAGCGCTTGAATAACCTTTAGGCATGACCTCCTTCCATTAATGGATTTTGTCCACCTGTGACGCCGCCTCCAGCTGCTTCACCTCACCAGCCTGCAGTATATTAACCCCTTCTCCGCGCATATGTTCCCGGGTCACCACATAAAGAAGACCAGGACCAGGGTCCTTCCTGGCGAACCTGCTTCTACCAGCATATGCTGAACTTTTATCAAGACTGATGGACTGAACACATCCTCTTCAGGCCGAGGGACTGGTTACCTCAAATTCCTTCTCAATTTCCACCATTCTGCTCTTTATCGGACTGAGGAAACCATTGGCTGGGGGAACTTTTCCACAGTAAAGATACCCAAGTGTTGCACAAGTATTGCACAAGTATTGCACGAGTGTTGCACAAGTGTCTCATTCATCAATTTGTTGGTTTTTTAAACCATTTATAATAAGCAGTAATGTGCACTTTGTACACAGGAAGCTGCACAGGTTGCAGAACAAACTTCTCTTATAACAACGTTTCACTCTTCGTAGAGAGATTTACGCATGGCGAAACCTAACTCACTAAAACATGGTGTTCAACCCTTGTTTCCTCTTCACTAGCCCAGCAAGTCTTGCAAAGACAGTGAACAGCGCGAGACACCGTTCATAAAAGGCATTATCATAACCAACTGGCCTAAAGAATAACTAAAAATTCCTCAGGGGGGTCAGCGCCCCCGCTGCACGGTCCCAGACCTGGCCTCCTGGTGAATCAAGGCCTGATCAACCAGGCTGTTACTGCTGGCCACACGCAATCCAAAGTACAAACCCCAGCATAGCTGCTCACTAATTGATGTGGTGATACTTGTCAAGTTCCCGCTTGAAGACAGCCACTACGACAGCCTTACGACGCTGTTAAATAGAAGATAATCACTTCTTAGACATCAAAATTCCACTTTTTTTATTCCCATGTCTCAGCGCTAACGTTTCTAAATTCTCTTGTCTTTACAGTGGAAACTGTAATTCCAGAAATATTCTGTAATGAATCGAGATTATTGGTCTTGTCTTCCCAGTTGAAAAGAAAACTTCAGAATCCAGAACTGATGTCCTTCCAGACAAAACTGTGGTTCCAGAACAGGTTCTGATGACTCTAATGTCTCTATGTTGCCCTTCCAGGAGAAAGTGGGGGTTCCGAACTAAGTTCTGATGATTCTAAATAACTGTTTTGTTCTTGCAG